ATATACCATTTTCACTTGATTTTTTTTCATAATGTTGTTTATAAATATTGTTTGCACACAAAAAAGTCAATTGGCCCAATTCAGTTATATATTTCTACAGTGGTGTCATTGGGTAAATTTGTGTACATGAATACCACGGCATACGTAAGTCAGTCAGGGCTAATCGTCGAACGCAATATATATATATATATATCGATCTGGATGCAGTGATCGGGATATTTTGACTATTTTGTCGGCATACTAAACGGAGACTCCGTGGGTTAGATCAAGTCTAACCCACAATTGAGATAAATATCTTAATCGGGATAAGTATCCTTTGAAGGTCCAATTCAGTCCCCCAGACGATTGTTTATTGGATGTGTGGCTATTATTGGAGTATTGCTAATCACTAATACAAAGCGTATGTAGTTGTAGTTTATTTAAAAGCAAATAACACTAATCCCAGTGATTGCACCAGTGCGTCATGGGAAATGTAATTTGAATGGTCCGCCCAGTTGTTTACTTGGAACACAGCTGTTATCATTTCAACCGAAGGTGCTATTTCCCGTAAGCTAACATCACGGTTACTAGTAACCGTGCTAACATCATGCATTACGCTAATATCTGATTTGAAAGGACTTATTGAATCGCGTTATTCAAAGCTCATGGGCCCTCACAATCTTTTGAAAGCTGTTTTCTGTGTTTGCGTCGATCGTGGTCGGCTGTAAAGCATAATTTCTGTAAACTTTTGGCGTTACGGCATTGTGAGATTCTCAATGGTGTCTCTGAATTGAACTCATGCACTCTTGTACCAAAATGTTACAAGTGCGGTCTATTAATATTTATTTACCAGTACTCACAGTCCATACGTTACAGCACTGTTACTAGAAGAACCGTGCTTACAGGCACGATGTATTTATACGTACTGTGTCATGTCATGCTTGTAACATAAGTTTATTAGTAAATAAATATAGTAAATACGTATGTAACATCCCAGTTATGAGTGAAAATTCTTAATAAAAATCTAAATACGCAAAGTTGTGAGTGAATCAATATAGATACACCGTACATGTAACGTGCGAGTCATTAGTTATAACTACCTTATACTAAAATATGTTTGGAGAAAAACTGCTTTTAGATGGCTAGCTAGTACGAATGCTAATATCATTATGATCCAGGAAACTCATAGTAGCCAAAACATTTGAGGCAAATGAAAGAAGACATTATTTTTTCACATGGTCAAAATAATAGTAGAGGGGTTCTTTCAATTTTTAGAAATGTTGACTTTGACATTAACAATGTTTACCGAGATGAAGAGGGGAGATTTCTGATTATTGACGCACAGGTAGCCAATAAACATCTTATTCTAGTTAATTCCTATGCCCCAAATAAGCAGGTGGAACATGTGGCTTTTCTGAAAGACATAATTAAAACAATAGAACAAATCACCTCCAATTCAGATGCCCAAATCGTGTGGGGCGGAGATCATAAT